TGTGTACGTTAATAGTTGACAATGCACACGTGCACAATCAACAGAGTCATATACACAAGCAATCGACTGGGTGTGTACGTTAATAGTTGACAATGCACACGTGCACAATCAACAGAGTCATATACACAAGCAATCGACTGGGTGTGTACGTTAATAGTTGACAATGCACACGTGCACAATCAACTGAGTCATATACGTAGCAATCGACTGGGTGTGTACGTTAATAGTTGACAATGCACACGTGCACAATCAACTGAACGATATTCGTAAACAAACAATACGTAACCAACCGGTTATGCTTGGCGTGTAAGTGATCGTCTGAAAGAGCTGGAACTCCAAGACAACGCGCACTCTGTCGAACCCCAACCCCCGCACACATCAAAACAACTAAACCCTAACCCACATCCTTGAACGGCACCCCTCAATAGCGCCCTACGCACATACGTGATAAGCTCGGAGGTCAGCTTGGAGCCTCTGTTGTCGGCGAAGGAGAACGAATGGTCCCACTGACCAATCATCTCAGCAGCCACAGACAGTGCGAAGTAGTCGGGATGACTGGCACCCACCGCCTGTAGACCCAGGGCGGCGTAGCAGTAGGGCATCTCATCGTCACGGAAGTTGACCATAGAGCCTGGAGAGAGAGAGGGAGAGAGATGAGCTGAATAAACAAGTAAGGGGGGGGGAGAGATGACCTGATAACTACATCACCTTTATAATACACATATCATTAAAAGAGTCTGACAGATAGCGTAGCAGCTGGTAGGGATTGGCATCTACTTCAGTGCGTGTGAGAGTGTGTATGTGCGGCATGAACTAGAGCACAGCCACATGGGCGGAGCGGGCTGAAGCAGCACATGCAGTATTACGATGATACAAACCTATATGTACATTCATGAACACAGTTATACCTACATACATATATACAACTATACCTACAGACATATACACAATTATACCTACATACATATACACAACTATACCTACATACATATACACAATTACACCTACATTCATATACTCAATTACACCTACATACATATACATAATTATACCTACATACATATACACAAATATACCTACAGACATATACACAATTATACCTACATACATATACACAACTATACCTACATACATATACACAATTACACCTACATTCATATACTCAATTACACCTACATACATATACATAATTATACCTACATACATATACACAAATATACCTACATACATATACACAATTATACCTACATACATATATACAATTATACCTACATAAATATATCCACAATTATACCTACATTCACATACACGCCTATTCCTAAACACCCATACACAACTATACCTACACAGCCAGACACACACTCTCTCACTCCCACACTCAGCTTTACACACCAGTGAAGCGGGGTGGGTCCACCAAGTGCGCGCCCTCCTCAGAGGAGAGGGAGCCCAGGGCCTTCTCAGCCGCCTTAACCAGTGCATCGTGGTCAACGTTACCAGAGGCCGCTAGTACAATGCGAGGTCCGGTGAAGTTGTTCTTCAGGTAGGTAGATACATCAGCCTGGGTGAATTGCTGCACATTCGATGTGGGGCCAAGCACGGGAGACGCTAGTGCTGTGCCCTGGACGAAGGGTTGTGTGAATAGAGAGAGTGGGGTAGGTTTAGGGTATAGGGTTTAAGACGAATGGGACACATGGGTTTTAGGGTTTCGAGCTCCCCATGTCTCCAATGTATATTTGCTAATCGTGAAACACACTCACAAACACACGATACGGGCACAGTCTTGTATCTCTGAATAAATAGTTTATCGCTAAAGTCGACTACCTCCGAATGCATCATGAAGACACGCACACTCAAATACACATATATATATACGCGCGCACACACAC